TTTTTTTTTTTTTTTTTTTTTAAAAATAGAATTGGATGGCAGCAGAGACTGGGACAAAAGTCAGATTCAGATCAGAGATGACGCTCCAAATTCAGTAAATGCATGATCCAGCAATTCCATGCCTAGGCGTACATCATAAGAACTGAAAAGCAGCACTTAACAAATACTGTACACAAATCTTCATAGCTATAGTATTCACAGTAGCCAGGAGGTGGACACAACCCCAACAGCCAAATGTGTATCCACATGGTGGAATACTACTCAGCCATAAAAAGGAACTAAGCACCGACACGTGTTAATAGGGATGACCCTTGAAAACAGGATGCTCAGGGAAAGAAGCCAGACCCAGAAGGCCACCTGTGTATGGTTCTAAAATAGACAAACCCACAGAGACAGGAAGTGGATTAGTGGTTGCTAGGGTCAGGGGAAGGGGTGGAGAATGACTGCTTAATGAGCCCCCAAATCCTTTGGGCGGATGAAACTGGACAGAGGGGTGCTTGCAAGACACTGTAAACGTATTAAGAGCCCTTTACGCACACGTTTAAATGCTTCCTTTCATGTTATGGGAACTTTACCTCAATAATTTTTTTCTTGTTTTCTTTACTTTTGATTGACACTTAATGACTGTACGCATTTAAGGGGTGCAGCAGCACATTTCAACACATGCATATTGTATACTTGTGATCAAATCAGGGTACATTAGCACATCCATCACTGCAAACATTTATCATTTCTTTGTGGTAAGAATATTCCAGATCCTCTCTTCAAAGTTACAGTTAGGAGGAATGCTTCCAGGTGTTCCACTGCACAGCAGGGTCATGAGGTCCCTGCTTAGCATCTGGAGGGCCTTCTTAAGTGACAGCCCCCATTTTAAGGAAAAAGTTTCACTTTCCCTCCCAAGGGCCCTTCTAGAAAGGCCCACCACTCCCTCACACCAACCCCACCCCTAACCACCGCCTTAGGACCCGCTGGGCTCCGATTCCTGAGCCTGACCCATGAAAGTCCCAGAACCCCAGCCTGTTTGGCCTCTCTCCTAGAGAGACATGGCCTTTATTTCTCAGCTCTCACAAGCTCTCGTGTGGACCTCTGCCTGGCCTCCGTCTTTCATTTCTCACGTACCCGTTTCTCATCCCTCGATTTCCCTTTAAGGGTGACAAGGGGTAATAATGTATTGCATATTAAGACAATTTTTTTTTTTGTAATGACTCCATTTTTGTCTGAAACTCTTAAAGGACGCGGAGAGGTCCGTGCACTTGATGGGGGAAGCCACAGGGAGAAATGAGCTGGGGAGGGGCTCCCACTTTGGAGTTCTTGAATTTGATGTGCCTCCTGAATGGAGTTAGATATGTGAACTTGGAGTTCAGGGACGGGACTGGTGCAGGGATAAGTTAGAAGCCTTTGGCACAGGAGAAGTATTTTAAGCCCTGGGACTGGATGAGATCATCCAGAGAGAGGGTGGGGGAAATGGACCAGGCCCAGGCTCGCAGAGTCAGCGCCCACCCGAGGAAGATTCAGGGAAAGGGCTGGGGCGGGGGAAGAGACCCAAGGATGTGCATCTGCAGAGCCGCAGCGTCGTCCAGTCTTACACACAAGGGGTAAGTTCCAAGACGTTCTGTCTAACACGGCGGACAGCATGAAGCCTGAGCACACAGCCCGGGCCTCCCTACACAGCGCACCTAGAGAAATCAGGCACAGCAGATCGGCACCAGGCACTAATAATAGATTATTATTTTATTATTAGTAAACAGCGTAGGGCTGGGGATGTAGCCTCTAGCACTTGTGAGGCCCTGGGTTCAGTCCCCAGCCCGGCAAATAGACCATCCAGGCTGGGGAAACAGCTCAGTTGGTGGAGGGCGTGTCCCCCAAACACAGGCCCCGAGTTCAATCCCCAGCGCTACAGAAAATAAATATAGAACAATATCACAACGTACTGTGACAGGAGATTTCCAGCGAATGAATTGATTACTTCTGGAACTTTCCATGTCATGCTTCTGGACTTCAGCGAACCAAGGGCAACTAAAATTTCAGAAAGCAACACCTTGGGTAGGAGGGGTGACCCCGTAGGGGTAGGTGGGGACCACCCTCTGCAGGTCAGTGTTAGCGTGCCCTGCTGCGTCTGCGCACGGGAATGTTTGTGCCTGTCAGGAAAGTGGAGAGGAAGGTCTCTGAGCGCTGATGAGACTCCTTCCCCATGTCACAGACGCTGACATTCTCAGAACATGGTTGAAATAACAAAGCCACGAGTCCAGTACGACCCTGTCACATAGCAGCGAGGAGAGCGGTTTCCAAGGGCAGAGTAGCAGCTTCCTGGTGGAGGGGCCTGGCGGCCATCATTTCAACTAGGCCAAGTGTCACAGCGTCAGAAGGGACGAGAGAAACTGAGGCCCCTATGTGAAGCACCCCAAAGACAAAGTGTCACTGCTGTGAGATTCCTGCCCAAAGGGCCTCACTGGTGCAGATCCTGAGGAGACGTCGGAGGCACACGGAGGGTCATCTCGCCAATGACTGGCCTGTGTCCTCCCAGAGCGTCAGGGTCACAAAAGCTGAGGAAAGACGAAGATCGTCTCCAGAAGGGGACGAGGAGGATGTGGCCCCAGTGCCACCCATGATCCTGAAGAAAGCCCGTGCTGGGGGAGGGAATGGAAGTGCCCAAGGGACATCGCTGTGGCCCAGAGGTCTCTGTCCCCAAAAAACTCCTGTGTTGAAACCTAATCCCCATGAGAAGGTGGCAGGAGGGGGCCCCTGGAGGTGACAGGGCCAGAGGAAACACCCCTTGTGTTGGGGTTGTGCCCCCATCAAGGCCTCAGGGAACTCCTGGCCCCTCCACGTGAGGACGCGGTCAGAGGGCATCGGCTGACAGTGTCCTCCTCGGGCCCCAGGTCTGTCGTGCCCTACCATCACTTCAGCCTCTGGAGCTGCGAGAACCAGCGCTTGTTGCTAACAAGCTGAGGTCATTTGTTAGGGCTACTAGACGTGACAGGGACAGCTGTCGGGAGCTTCCCTGGCTGCAGACGCCTTTAGGTCCTGACACACGGGGTGCTGGACAATCCCTGCGCCCCGCAGTCACCTGGGCTTTACCCCCTGGGATAGGAGGCTGCTCCAGGAGCAGGCGTCCCCCATGGGGTTGAGCTCCACTCACCTGTTCCTTTGTAGTCCTTTTGGGGATAGAATGTTCCATGGAACCTGCCCTTGTGTGTCTCCTGTATAAGAATACAGAATTCCAGTGGCTCTCCGTTTCCACAGACCCTAAGGTCGCAGAGCTCTCCTTGGGTTTTGAAAAGGCACTTCTGTGTGTTTGTGTGCTTTCTTGGCTGTTTGCTTAAGTTACTGGGACAGTCAGAGCCCAGCATGAGGTCCCCAGCGAGGGTAGAAGGTGATGCTGAGCTTGGACGGTGGAGAGGAAACGGTGTGGTTCCAACGTCACTTCCTGATTTGGGGGGTGGGTACTGGGGTTTGAACCCAGGAGCTCTTAACCCTTGAGCCCCACATCCCCAGCCCTTTTTTGTATTTTATTTAGAGACAGGGTCTCCCTGAGTTGCTGAGGTTGGCTTTGAACTTGAGAGCCTCCTGCCTCAGCCTCCTGAGTTGCCCAGATCACAGGTGAGTGCCACTGCGCCCGGCTGCATTTCGTGACTTTTGATAACCACGTGGTTGTGTAAAGAAAGTCTTTATTTTTAGGAGGTAAACCTGGACATATTTAGGGGCAGGAGAATGACGCCTGCTCCGTACCCTCCAATTGCAAATCTGCGGCGGGAAAGGGGCTGGTGTGACAAGGTGCCCCCAACGGGGTAACTCAGAATAACAAAACCCCTCGGCCTGGCCGTTCTGGAGGCTGAGGTCCAGGGTCAGGGTGTCGGCAGGCAGGACCAGGCTGCCCGCCTCTCAGGGGCTTTGGGGGACTGTGGCCACTGGGCTCCTTCTGGCAGCCGTCACTCCCAGCTCCCTCTTCGTCCGCATGGCACGGTCCTCCCTGGTCATCTCTGGGCTCCTCATGCAAGGACACTAGCCACACTGGATCGGGCCACCCTGCTGCACTGTGACCTCACCCTGACTGATGACATCAACCCTGTTTCCAAATAAGGTCACCGCCCAGGTTGTGGGGATAGGACATAGGGAGAGAGAGGACAGCTCAGCCACGGAAATAAGAAACTAAACAGCCCAGAGAGGGAGGGCTTCAGGGAAGGGGTGCAGCCCGATGAGGACCGAGACGCGGTCACTGGGTTTATGGGCTAGAGACCAGGTACCATGACCCTGGCTGCCTGGGGAGAGGTGGGGACAGGAAGCAGCCCTCGGGAACAGACAGACGGAGCTTCCCACTTCCCTCTGGGGAGGAGGGGGGCCTGCAGGCAGAAAGGGACTGTCTCCAGCTGGCAGAGAAGCTCCGCCCACAGCCCGGAGAGAAGGACCAGCAAGCTGCAAACAGGG